TCGGTGCATGCCCGAGATCCGAACCCAGGCCGCTAGTAGCGGAGCGCACGTGCTTAACCACTAAGCCATGGGGCCGGCCCCAAACTTTTATATTTATTAATTAAGGTGTAAATATTACCTACAGCGGCAGATAAGCCCCAAGTTCTCAAGGCTTAACAAGACAGAAGTTTACTTCTTGACCACATGAAGCCCAGTCATCAGGGAAGGGCTCTGCTCCGTGCAATCATTCAGAGTCCCTGGCTGACAGAGGCTCTGCCTTCTTCAACATAGGGTTCCCAAGTTCACTTGACATCGTCCAACTAGTGGATGAAGGAAGACAGCCCAGTGCAAGGGAGATATGTAATGGGTCAGGCCTGGAAACAGGGTAAAGCATTTTCATTCTCATTTCAGTGGGCATAACTCAGGCACATAGCCACACCCAGCTTCTAGGGAGGCAGGGTGTGGTAAATATCCAAGCAGTCTCTGCCATGGTTCAATTTCTCTCAGTTACAAAAGTATACATGCTTTTAGTAGAAAGTATAAAATACAGAAAGGCTCCCAGAGATAACTGCTGTTAATCTTTTGGTGTATTTTCTTAACAGTGCATTTTTTTCAATGCATATTATCTCTATGGTTGTTGATTATAGTATACACACACAGTAATTGTATGATTATATCACGTATGATTTGTATTTTTAAACTTAAAATAGTAATTTCTTCATGTTAAATAAATGAAATTTAATATTTTTTGAGCACATCCAGCCAAGCCCTGGATATACAGCAGTAACCAAGACATTCACTTGCTTATGGAGCTGACTTTGCAAAATAAAAGAATGGCTACATAATATTCATTGAGTGGGATATATCATAGTTTACTTATTCATCATCCTACTGTTGGAAATAGTCTATTTCCATTTCTGTTTCTTTTTTGCTGCTAGAAATAAGGCTCTAGGCAACATATTTAGGCAGACAGCTTTCCCTTTATTTTGATTTATTATCTTAATCTTGTTCCTGCTTTAATGGGTCAAATGGAAGTATTGAGTCAAAGGATAAGAACTTAACCACTATGCCACCGGGCCGGCCCCTAATCTTCTTTTTTTTACCGTTATAAATATAGGTGAAATTTTCCTAAATCATTAAATAATTTTAAACCTTTTTTAGTAGCTTTGTAATTACATTATATAGATGACCTTATTGTTGGAAACTTATTTTTGCTTATAAATTATGCCTGACATTTCCGAGTTGATTTCCAACCATACTGCTGTGTACATACTTTAGTTAAGTCTCTGAAAAACATTCTGATCAACTATCTCTTTTCATCTAACTTTTAGTAATTTACATAAATGTGGTTGAGCACCCTAGGGTTTGCAGACAAAATCACCAATGTCTGTTATGTTGATCTTATATATTGAATTACATTTAACTAAATAATGGTAGTAAAAAATATTGTTGCTAAGAATTTTTTGTTACTCTTTGTCCAATCAGCAAGTTCCCATATAATTATTGAATTCATTTTAATTTTTAAAAAATACTCGAGTCAGATAAATGTGGAAAGGGTTATTTCAAGACCTCAACACTCAAAGTTTGATAAGGCTAAATAACTATCCCTGCATTCTCAGCTTTGAAGAAAGTAAATTGGGGATGGGGATCTTCCCATTTTTGTACTGAATTTTATATCATTTCTTGTTTATAGAATGTCATTTTTGTTATTCAAATTAGACTGTAAAACAAGCCATCATTAGCTCCTGGATCGCTTTGTGGAAAATTTTCCACTTACATATATTTTATAGGCTATGTCTTGTTTCAATACTTGATAAGATAGAGTGAATGTAAAATATTTTTTCTTTTCTTTAAACAGGTAATAAAAACTTTAGATCCCAAATTAAATCCAGCATCTGCTGAAATAATGCTACTTAGAAAGCAGTTGGCAGAGAAAGAGAGAAGAATTGAGATTCTGGAGGTAAAGCTTCCATATTCACGCATCTCCTCTTAATTATTCTGTGTAATCATGATAATTAACTGCTGTCATATATTTGCTATTAATGATCAAGTTGCACAAGAAGTTAGAAACATCATGTTTCAGCACTCCGCATGTTTACTACAAGGCATCTCACTATCCACAAGATTAGTCTCTGTGAGTTTATGTGCTCTGCTGCACTGTCTCTCTCTCCTTCTTAACCAGATTTTTCTTCTCTCTTATCTTCTCCCTTTTTCTCCCTGAACCTAAACAAACTTAGTTGGAATTCCTGGGAGAAGGAAGTACTTACAGAATTCCAGTAAGCCCTTGGACTAAAGTGGCGGTCTTGGTTATTAATCACACAAAGTTGTGTTAGTAATGGCATGGTGTTATTAGTTAGCTGAGTCTTTAAATTTTAGTTATTTTTGTTTAGAGATTACATTAGTTTTACTAGCTGGGTTAGGTGTGTCAGTACGATATTGTATATTCTTTGATTTTATAACTGGGCATGTTCTAGTTTCCTTTGCAAAGTGTTCTGCAAAACTACTATTTTTAATACAATGGTGAGATTTGATGCTATTTTTGAAGTCAGTATGTACTTCTTCATACTAACATATGCATAATTGCAGAGCCATGTTGAGTTCTGTATACTAGTGTGGCTGCAAAATAACCACTAACCATTTTATAGATAAGAGACATAAGGTGAATTTTACTTGAGCCAGGGTGAGGATTATAACCTGGGAAGGCAGTTTCCACAAAGGAAGAAAGCACTCCAGAGAAGCATGGTGTTCAGTACAGTCTTCTACCTTTTTAGAACAAAGAACATACATTAAACATACCAAGGGTACATATTGATCAAAGTTTCAAAGAAGTATTCAGCAGCAAATTAGCAGGTCAACATGACCTGATGTCTGGAAAGGGACTAGCATGGGCATTACCAAGAGGGCATTACCCATGCTGGCATAGGAGAGGAAGTATCCACTTTTATCTTAAGAGAGTGCATTCTTTACTTTAATGGTTAAGCAGATTTACAATGTATGTTTGATAGGCCATAGTGAGGCTTCTTTAGTTCAAGCTGAATCAGTTTTGAACCCGAGTATTTATGCCATATACCTCAGTATGTGAAAATCTCTTGTCATTTTCCCCTTTTAATCAACAATCTTTTGATGGAAAGTATTGATGATCAAAATATTGTCCCTCAGTGCTAGGGTGGTTGCTGCCTGCCCTTGGTCCATCATGTCCTTCGGTGCTAGGCTTTTATTTCATTGATTTGCCCAGTTAACCATGTTGGGGGTAAATAGTCGGATATAGTTGACAAACATAGAGGTATATATTAACAGGGGAAGCGTTTCATAGGTTATGTAATTTGTCAATTATTTTTAGATTATTGCACAAACGTTGTACATGTGCTTTTACATGACTTCCTATGGTTACATTGTTTATAACAATTTGAGAATAGATAATTCAATACTTGGAATGATTAGTTTAAAATGAATTCTTAGGCATAGTCTTTATCAGAAAAGGAAATTCTTCCAGTGTTGTAAGATTGATTGACCATCTCAAGTCACTGAGCAACCATTACTCTAGCCTGCATTCCAGTCTTACAATACTGAGTGAAGAAAACAGTAATTAGTTTGAATATTATGACTAATAGAAAAATTCCAAGAAATAATGGGAATAGGAATTGCAATCCATATTGCAAAAGGGAGGCAATACTGGAAGTGAGCCAATGAAACAAATTAAGACTAGGTATAGGGTCACTTAGGGCTTCCACTTGCTTTTTCATGTGCTTTAGCAGAGAGGACACATTGGAAGATTCATCAGATATCAAGACACAGCAGTCACTTTGAATGATTGCACATGTACCACCTTGGGATGCAGTTAAAATATCTAAGGCCATTCTATTTTGAGGGACAGCCTTTCTTACTAAACACATTTCAGTATTTAATAAGGCTAATCCTGCTTGACTATCATTAAGGGCTTGTTGAGTAAATTTAGTCAGGGCTTCTAGATGTGATATGACATCTTCTAGCCCCAAAGAAGGAACAAATATAGCTGCTAGGTGGTTTCATACCAGTGGAACACTGAACAAGCCCATCTGGCCTTAAGGAGAGGAAGATTGGCAGCAGTTGTTAGCACACACAGATCATTGCTAAGATATTTATATCCTTGAGATGGTAGCATTTGAACAGAGTTCAATTGCTGTACCTCAAAGGGTCCCTTAGGAAGGGGAAAGTGACCTTGTGACCCATGAAGTGTTTTCTTGGGATTATATTTAGGACATATAGTACAATGAGCATATTCTTTATGAGCCACTGTGGGAGAAAGTTTTCAAAAATATTGTTTTCCCCATAAAATCACCTTTTCAGGTGAGTAATGGGTAATTGATGTATTTGCTGGAGCAGTGGCAATTGTGCTCTAATAGGCACTGTGGTTTGTTATCTGACCTGAACCACATCTGCATGGTACCGTCAAAAATTCCCATTTTTTGTTGTCATATTTGTTTTCTTCTGTGGTGATTTCTTGAGCCTGTGGAAGGACATCTTTCCCTGGGTTAGTAGGGTTAACAGAGAGCAGTGGACATTCTCCAGGCTGGACAGGATATCCAGCCTGGTTATGTCCCTACTTCTCTTTTAAGTAAGACCCATCTGTAAACCAAATTAGATAATAAAAATGCAGTCATGGTAATTTTCCTCCTGTGGTGCAGTCATGGTAATTTTCCTCCTGTGGTGCTGGAAGCAAGGTAGGAGGGTTAAGGTAATGAATAATATTTACCTACGCAATATAACCTAAGAACGTTTATGATCATTTACTTGACGTTGCTTCCCATGCAATTTAACATACCAAATAAACCTAATTAGTATAGTATCTCACTCTTTATAGCAAGAGAGAACAAATTCTTTGACAAGTCCCAGGACCCATTAGAAATTTTCAAAGGTTCTTTCAGGTCAAAAGAAAGACTTTATTTAGCATTTGGATTTTTGGAGAAGTTTGTCAAAAATATCAAAAGATTTTAAAACACTTGGTCCAATGAGAAGGAGTGCTTAGTTATCTATTTAACCAGGATGACAACAGAAGATGTTAAAGGCAAACACAGAAGGTAAAACAGTTGGGGGGAAAAAAAGTCTTTTAATAGATAGGCTCAACTTTTTGGACATAGAAAATTATTTTGATAAAATCCCTGCTTTTAGGCAGACTACTCAAAGGTAAAGAAAAACCTTTTATAATCTCTTTATCAAGAGCAGACTAAAAGTTAAAGAAAATTATCATTTAAGAGAAAGAAAACTCTAATTTTAATTTTGCATCTGCTTACTTTTGATATTAAAACTCATTTACTTAATTAAATTTATTTTAATCTTAGCCAGCTTGACCATGCTCAAAATTATTTCCTCAAGGTTCCTCTTCCACAAACCTTTTATAACTTTTTTTTTTACATTCAGAATTTGTCCTATGCTTTCTTTCCTTCCTAGTATTTTAGGACAAATTTATTTTTCTTAACAAAACAAACATATCTCTATTCCTTAAATCTTCTTTACTGAAAACATACATCTTACTTTCTTTAATTTTTATATTGGCATCCCGTGGATTGGCAGATCCACAAATACTGTCTAGAAACATGCACTTTCTCATAGAAAATTTCTCAGTGTGGCACAAACATGTTTATTAATAAACCCAGTATTTTCTAGTTTCTCTGCAATAAGGAGCCAAAGGTAAATAAATCCATGTTTAGTAATTAATATCTAATGTTATATCTTATGTGAAAATGATCTGGATACTCAATAAATTTTATCATTTAACTTGATTTAACAAAACTAAGATTTTAAGTTACCAAAAAGGTTTTGAAGTTATTTTAGGTACGTACACCATAACATACAATTATTGTAAAAAATTCACCTGAAACTTTTGTCTTTTTCACATCTATTTAGTTTACTTGTTCTCAATAATTATTTAGATTGCCTACGAGACTTCATGAGACATTAGGCAAAATTAGCTATCATTCTAAGTTATTATCTTTGCTAACAAGTTTTGTAACAGAGATAACATGAGCTATTTGATTAATAACCCAGGTAGAAAAAAAGCTGCATGTCTGCAGCATAACCAGTGCTGATAACTTTGAAGACATGCTTATTTCAATCAAACCAAGAAACTTAAATAAGCTTTCGTTTACCAAAGATTATTTTATATCACATTAACTTGAAAGACATTTGGGTTATTTTCTGTTACATTTATATAAGCACTTACTTTAAGCCAATTAAATAGGGCTCTTTCAGAAATTAAACCATCTGCAGGTAGAAACATATCTATATTTATAATATAGAAACACATTTATAACATACATATATCGGCACACACATAAACACACAGTCAGATGCAACAAAGATTTTATAGCCTCCGTTTTTAAAATTTTCCTTAGATTTTTGGGCAAGGGTGCTTTCATAACAGCCTGCATCTCTGAAGGCTTCTTTTCTCTTTTTTCTTTCAGTCTTAGGAATCTGGATATCTAGATAATAGCTCCCAGAGAAGTCACAAGTTTTTTTGAGATAAACAGAAGTTTAGTTACTTATCAAAGGACTGACATACCCATCCAATTACCTTGTCCTTAATTTGCTTCTTTCCCTCTGGGTACATAGTTTTATCTTAATTTAGGGAAGAAGGCCTAAAAAAATATCCTATCAGGCTTTGAATATCAGCTTACAATTTGGCTGAATTTTTGATCATAAGTTGCTAAATCCTTTCAAATATCTTGTCAGGTTTCAGCCAGGACAAACAGTAAGTATACCTAGCAGCATTGAACACCTTCATTAATCTTCAACATAGCAGTTTCCCAGGAAATCTCTCAGAATCTCATTAATTTGGGGAGGGGCTCATATTGGGCCCTTCTTTGAAGGTAGATTATGGGGTTGTCTGTAAAACCGTGACTTAATAAGTAGACTTCTTAAATGATCTTACCTAATTGGCACATTCCTTCTAATGGCCACTGTACAAGTTTTGGAGGCTCAAAGGAGCCCCAAAGTGGCCACTGTAATTTTAAATTATTCCAGGTTATCTTGATTCAAAGATCCAACCATTTATCCCCATTTTGTTAAGCACTTGCAAGTATCAGATCCATACGTACTGTGCATGAAGTCAACCAGAGTTCTAGGGGGAGGCTACCCATTCTGGAACTAGTTGGCTTTCAGAAGCAAGATTTCTGTTTTTCTTTTAGTTTCGTTTTACTACAAAGTCTGAACAATTTCTAAGGACAGTTTAGTGGGTCAGAGAAAAGGTCGTGAACACTCTCTTGTCGAGGTTTCTTTGGCCAGCAGTCAGTCAAGTCGAAAACTACCGTGGGGGCTCGGAGTATGTGGATGGCCAGTCCTTATGTGCACATCCTTGCATGAGCTGTCAGTTACTTAAAGTGAACAATCATGGTGGAATTCCCTATGGGACCTCTGCACGTCATGAGGCTCAACCTAGACACTCCCACTAGGTTCTCAGTTGCCTGAGGACACCTTACGGCTGGGAGGAGCTGGTATCCCTTCTCTTTGGAGCTGAATGAGTTTTCAGTCTCTCATTTTGCTATTAAACAATTTGTTCAGACTTTATGGACACAATTTTTTCCAATTTAAAGCCAAATTGAAAAGGTCCGCCTGTCCCCTTCACTCTGAAATTCCCCAGAGGTTGCTCTCACCTAGAAAATGTACCAGTACCCCCTTAAGACACCTAGTCTTAAGACTTGAAACAGCTCAAGTAAAAGTCCCTACAGCTTAAATAAGGAAGTCTGGGTTTCAGGAGAAACTCACTGGGGGCACCTGAAGAGTGCTATGAAGCTGGAAGGTCTCAGTGGGCCTGAGTGGTACCAGTTCAAAGTAGATTCCAGGTGGTCTCCAGGGGATGGTCTCCAGGGGGTTTCTCTGAAATCTTGCCAACTACACCACGAAATGTCAGTGCAAAATAACCAATAACCATTCTATGGATAGGAGAGGTAAGGTGAGTTTTACTTGAGCCAGGGTGAGGATTATAACCCAGGAAGGCAGTTTCCACAAAGGAAGAAAACATTCTGGAGAAGCATGGTTTTCAATACAGTCTTATACCTTTTTACAACAAAGAAAATACATTAAACACACCCAGGATACATATTCATCAAAGTTTCAAAGAGGTATTCAGTTGCAAATTAGTAATCAATGTGACCCTGGTGTCTAGAAAGAGACTAATATGGGCGTTACCAATACTGGCATTGGAGGGGAAGTATGCATTCTTATTGTGAGAGTACATTCTTTCGTGGTTAAAGATGTACAATGTATGTTTGATAGGCCATAAGTCAGGCTTCTTTAGTTCAAGCTGAATCAGTTTTGAACCTGAATAGTTACCCCATATACCTCAATATATGAAAATCTCTTGTCACTAGCCTTGAAATTCTCATAACTGATAGTTGGTTTCTTTTTAAATCAACTAGGAATGTTATATTTCAGAGAAACACATTGTAGTCATTTACCATTTTCTTTGTATTATTTCTGAGCCAGTAGATATGGACTGTGGTGGAAATATTTTGCTTAAAGACTTTAACATCCAGAGTACATACCAGCCTTATGTGCACTTGCTGTAAGTGCTTGTTCAGGCCATGTCAAGTGTTGTAAAAAGCACTGGATAGAGATATCTCTCTGAAGAAATACTATTCATTCTTCAGGATCCAGCTCAAATGTCTCTTCCTCTATAAAGCTTTCCCTAAGGACTATAAAGCTTTCCCTGTATTCCTTAGGGCTAAGTTAGTTCTGACTCCATAGTGATTCCATGTACTTTGAACTCATGAATTCATCCCACAATAACACTGATTTTCTTTTTGGCGTGTGTCAGAGTGTCTTGAAGGCAGAGGCTGTGTCTTATGTCTCTGTACCCCCAGCATTAAATATGACATAAATCGGAGGCCAGGGTTCCAGCTTTATTGGTAACTTATCTCAAAGTCACCTCTCCTCACTTGTCCTCAGTCTCCTCGTCTGTAAAATAACAAGAGTTGGAATGAATGATCTCTGAAATCTCAGCCGCTCTGATTATTCACTTCCCAGTGAAAGCCAGTGAGAATGTACACAATTGTCAATGCTTGGGGTACAGTTCCCTAACAAGTATGATTACAAAATGGTGCCTCTAACTGTAGGGCTCTGAGGGAAAAATTCAGTTCAGTCACAGCAGATGGGCCTTTAATGTATGTGTATTCCTCAGTACACACACTGAAAAATGTAAAAAGGAGAAAAGTCATGTAAATAGCAGAGGTTATTCTATCTGCCATCCCTCTCAGGGAGTCTTTGCCTGGAGTGGATGTCAACCAAAAGAAGAGCCTCTTGCCTCCCTCATTCCTGTTTGCTTTTTGAATCATGAGCATCTTGCTGTGGGAATGTTCAAATGTTTCAAGATTATAACTTTTTATATGAGCCTACTATATCTAGTGCTCAACAAAATTACAAAATTGGCAGTATTAGAGTAATTGAGAAATGGATGCCAGTCTCTAGGATGGCATGCAAATATGGCCACAAGCAATCGAGTATACAGGTCACCAAGAACTGAGAGAGAAAAATTCATGCTAAGCTTTATAGGAGACTGTAAAGGATTTTCTGGGGTATTTTTTTACTACATCATCTTTCTCGTTAGTTTTGACTCCTCCATAAGTGCAGCTCTGTTTTGTCATGTAAACCAGTTGTTACTTTTTCCTCTAGACATAGGGGACAGTAGCATAAGAATCAGTAGTTTCCTGTTTGTTCTCGTTGTTAATGTCTATTCTACCAGTAAAATTCCTGAACTAAAGATTTGCTGCTAACAATATTATTCTTTCCTAAAAGTGTTGTGCATGCATTTCTCCACGATTCAGTTTACATTTTGACTATTTGATATACCTCACAGTCCAGTCTTCAAATTCTCTCAATAATGAGCATAGTGAGGGCCGGCCTCGTGGCTTAGCGGTTAAGTGCGCGTGCTCCACTGCTGGCGGCCCGGGTTCGGATCCCAGGTGCACGCCGACACACCGCTTCTCTGGCCATGCTGAGGCCTCGTCCCACATGCAGCAACTAGAAGGATGTGCAGCTATGACGTACAACTATCTACTGGGGCTTTGGGGGAAAAAAATAAATAAATAAAAATTAAAAAAATAGTAATAATGATGATGAGCATAGTGAAAAAATGATTCCATTTTAGTAATTTGGGTTGATTTCTGGGATTTTAATAGTCTTTATATCTTTTTCCAGAGTGAATGTAAAGTAGCAAAATTCCGTGATTATGAAGAAAAACTCATTGTTTCTGCCTGGTATAATAAGGTGAGTTAAAATTCCACCAATGATTGGATGTGTAGAACAGTGTTTATCAAACATTTTGACCATGAACCACAGAAGGAAATATATCTTATACCACGAGTCAGCACATATACATGTTTACATCGGTAACTGAACAAGAGTTACCCTGACTGTGCATTGCACTCAGGTATTTTCTGTCGTATTGGCTTCTGTTTTTTTAAAATGTTGGTCACAATCCTAATTAACTGTATATTTTAGTTTAATATTTTTAGTTGACTTTCAAAAATCACTACAGTGATTTTATAACTCATTAACCTCTAGTTGACGCGCATGAAGCACGCACAACAATTTATAAATGTTTTTAAATTGCCTTATTTGAGCTAAAATATTTAATTTGTGCTTCATGAAGAGTTTCTGTAGAAATATGAATATCTAGATAATGCAAAATTAAGTGCTTCTAGTATTCAGCATTTATTTTAACATCCCCTAAAGCCTCTCAGTGTGTCCCTTAATGTATTTTTTTTTAACCCAGGAATACTCTTCAATAATTGTCTATCTGTCCTAACAAGGAGAAAATAGTGTAAAATAATTTGAGGGGTCAGCCCCATGGCGTGATGGTTAAGTTTGGCATGCTCCACTTCGGCGGCCTGGGTTCATGGGTTCTGATCCCGGGTGTGGACCTACACTACTCATCAACCATGCTGTGGTCACGACCCACATATAAAGTAGAAGAAGATTGGCACAGATGTTAGCTCAGGGCTAATCTTCCTCAGCAAAAAAATAATAATTTGAAATGTATTTTATTTTGTCATCCTTAGTATTAGTGGGATGTGTCCAAGAGTATCATTTCATGTTATGAATGGTTCTTTTGAGTTATTCTAATCAGCTAGAATAGATAACAATGGAGCCATTGTCTACCTTAGCTCCTGCTTCTTTAGTATGAGAGAATATCAGTTTATAGACTGCCCACACAGGTGTTCTTCACCACATAGAACTGGTTGTCCTTCCTCAAACATGCCTTGTCTTTCATTCCACTTTTTGTGCTCATTTCCTCCCTTCACTTTTTTGGTAAAATCTGGCTTAATTTAGCAAAGCCTCGAAGGAAATTATGTGTGAAGTGTCCTTCATGGGTTAGTCATCCTAGTTAAGATAGGGGGCTGTGTATTATTTTCTTTCTTCCTCTGTGGCCCCTTGATACATAAATCATTAAAAATATTAGAGCCAAATAATGCATTATTTATTCATTTTTCAACCTATATTTTTTGAGCTTTGAGTATATTTGATGTATTGTACTAGGTACTAGTGATGCTAAGTCCAGTAAAATTGTGTTATGTGGTCTAGTGAGAGGTAATGACTTCCCTTACAAGAAACCCAATAGCCATAACTACAGTAATTTGTCATATATCAATATATAGATAGACCATAGTAAATTTGAACTATACTGGTGGTTCTCAAACTTTAGCATGCATCGGAAGATTGTTAAAACACAAATTATTGGACTCACCTGCAAAGCTTCTGATTTAGTAGGTCTGAGTAGAGTCCAGGTAGAATATGCATTTTTAACAAATTCTCAGAGGTGCTAATGTTCATCCAGGGACCATACTTGGAGAACCATTGATCTAAGCTGTTCTGTTGTGCTATGTCTGCTCATAGTGGGTGGAGGGATGGCCCAAACATAAAAATATGCTTTGGAACCTTTTTAAAATTGTTATAATTAAGCTTAAATCTGGAACATTATTTTAAGCTACTGTTTTTAATAATTTCAAATATAGTGGATTAAAATAGAGAAACTGGGGGGCCGGCCCGGTGATGTAGTGGTTAGGTTCATGCGCTCCTCTTTGGCAGTCCAGGGCTCACAGGTTCGGATCCCAGGCATGGACCTACACGCCACTCATCAAGCCATGCTGTGGTGGTGTCCCACATACGAATAGAGGAAGATTGGCACAGATGTTAACTCAGGGCTAGTCTTCCTCACCAAAAAAAAAGAGAAACTGGGTTTTATGCCTTTGTTTTCAGTCTTGCTTACTAGCGTTACCATCTGCAGATAAATTAGCTTCTGAACCCTTATTTTTTCCTACAAAAATGAGGAAAAAATAGGATTGTTTTGAGGATTAAATGACTTTATAGATGTGAAAAGCACTTTGCATACTCTAGTTATCTTATTGATTCATTTGTTTTTGTTCAGAGTTTAGCGTTCCAGAAACTGGGGATGGAGTCTAGACTTGTGAGCGGCAGTGGTGCTGGCCAAGACACTGGTGCCTGCACCCCTGCACGGTCTTTCCTAGCACAGCAGCGGCACATCACCCACACCAGAAGAAACCTCTCTGTTAAAGTTCCTGCTGCAACAGCTGATTAAACTGCAAAAGAAAACAAAAACAGAAGTGCCCTTAAAATATTTTGTACCTTTCAACTAACTATCAGATTGAAAAAGAAGTTTATGATGCTGGATATCAGCTATTTTAAAATCAAGATGCATGAAATTAATTTTGCCAGCTTACTTTGAACACAAAATATGGAATTAGCTATCTCTCTGAGGGAGCACAGTTGAATAATTTGAGGATGTAATTAGGCACACACCTCAACCAAACATTTGTCTTTTGAGAGTATTATAAATTCAAATTGACCGTGTATATTTTAGGTTAATGTTTTCAGTTGTGCCAGTAGCTTGGTTGATTTGCTATGTGTAATCAGTTGTATGTAATTTAAACATATATCTATATTTGTTTTATTGTTCTGGTCCATATGAAAATAGTCATGAGGTAGGCACATGGAGAACTATACAAGAGTTATATTTTTTGACTTGATACATACAAGGTTTTACCTCTCTCCTCTAACTCTGTCATTGAATAGGTATATTTTGTCATGTAACAGAAGATAGAACATTTGGAAGATTTGACTACTGAAATGACTTTGTCCTAGTAAAAGTGACTAATTGGAAATTTTGCAGATTCAGAGAGGTCACAGTTCTCCTATGTCCCTACTATAAACAACGGCTTTTGTACAATATGGTTGAAATGTTGAAGGTATGGAAATGAACTGACTTTTATAAGAGGTGACTTTCTGATGGAAAGCAAACTAAAGAATATACTTTGTGTGAAGCATCCACATACTTTTTAATATAATTCATGAAGATTACAATTTTATTGCTTTAAAGCATAAAATTATCTGGGCTTCTGCTAAAAAAAGATGCCTAATAGTTTTGCCTGTTCATCAAAAAGAGGTGGTGCAGTGATGAAACAATTGGAAACAGTTTGATTTTGTTTACTCACTAAGGAATCTGTCTTGGGCTGTGTATGGTATTGGGTTCGTTTCTGCCCAAAGCTCTTATTTTCAAAGGTGTTACTTTCTAGGTTTTTTGGTCATTTTTAAGAGTCACACTTTGAAACTTTAATTTAGGTGAGTTAAATCTGTGCTGTCCAGTGTTGTAGCCACAAGCCACATATGGCAATTTAAATGAATTAAAATTAAAAATTCAGTTCCAATAAAAATTGCACCAGCCACATTTCAGATCTTCAGTAGCTACATGTGGCTACTGGCTGCAATATTGGACAGTGCAGATATAGAATATTTCCATCATTGCAGAAAGTTCTATTGGACAGCACCATTCTAAATCTGTTTATAATAACTTGGAAATACTCTTTGATGTTAGACCACAAAAATAAAAAGAAGAAAAATGTTAGGACTACTTGAGATATGAAAAGGAATTGAGTTGTGATGTAACTAGCATCTTGTATTCCTTATAGTTGAATACCTTCTATTGTGACATTCAGTTAATCTTTCCAGTGCTGTTCAACAGCTACATGCCTATCAGCATATGTCTAGACCAGGGGTCAGCAAACTTTCTGGAAAGGGACAGATGATAAGTATTTTAGTAAATATTTTAGGCTCTGTGGGCCATATGATCTGTCACCAGTACTCAACTCTGCCATAAGTGTGAAAGCAGCAGCCATACACAATATGTAAACAAAATGGTTGTGGCTGCATTTCAATAAAACTTTATTTACAAAAACAGGTAGTAGGCCATATTTGGCCTGCAGGCTATAGACCTCTGGTCTAGGTTTTATTCTTAGCCTTTCTTTGCAAATATGAGTGTTGTTCCATTTACAGTATTATTCATTTAGATACTTGGTTTTTAGATTCTTTACCAGTAAATTTTTTCTAGTCGCTAAAACTACAAGAATTTCATACTGTATTTGGGTCTCTGAGATTAGGGAGCATCTGTCAGGATATTTTGTTTTATCAGGGTTACTTCTGTTCACTACCTCTTAGAGTTGGATGTTTTTTATCGGTACAATTATATTGTTGATTTGCATTTTCATATATTCTTGTAGCCTCTGCTTGCCTGTGACTTTTAGTGAAGTAAAATAAGCCTTTGAAAATACTGCAGCATGCTAATTAAGACTTTCTAAATATTATGGCTTTTTGGATATTTTGGTCAGTGTAAGTCATCTGCCCCTGTGGTGTTTACTACTTGCTTATATTGACATTTTACAAACTCTTCAAGCTCCCTTTTAATGAAATTTATTGTAAAACATCAATTTCAATAAATTAGTATTTTCACAGTTCAATTGCTCTTAAATTTTCAATTATTATACTTGGAATTTCTACGTAACTGATGCAATTTCTGAATAAAGACATAAGGCTAGATTCTTTTTTCTTAATAGAGGAAAAGCAAATTTTGTGATCTATCACTTTTCTAGGTGGTAGGTAGAATTTCAAATGCTTGATATATAAGTATTTATGAAAGACTAATATAATTTCACGTTTTGTATTATTGTGATTAATCATGCAGAAATTCAGGAACTGATCAGAAGTGAGATTCTTTTCCACATCTGGTTAATGTAGTGAGATTGACACCCTGTGGGTGGTAAAGCACTATAAATATTCATCATGAACCATGATTTGTACATGTCTGTGATGTAAGTGAGGCTGGAGTGCATATACTAGGGAAGAGCAATTCAGCATTTTTATCTATTTTAGAAGGAATTAAATGTCCCAGTGATGATAGAGTAAAACCACAGACCAGTTTGGAAAGGATCTTTAATTTTGAGCGTCTGTTCTAAGGAATATTAATTCCTTTCTCTTTTTAAAATAAAAAGTGTGTATAATTATGACAATGATGTTTATCCTGAGATTAACTTAATGTATTGAGAAATATTTGAAGTTCACTCTATTTTTTCGATGAATAAGGCAGTTGAACTAATGATTTAGTATAGATTAAGAATTAACATCTAGAAACATTGAGTATCCTTCATTAAGATGTCATCATCTTTGATAACTGGCATGCTAATTTGAATGTTAGATAATGCTTCTATATCTACACCATTTCTGTGTAGTGGCACATCTGGCCCTGTGGCCAAGGTTAGGTTCTCTGTATTTAATGAGAAACGTTCATATGTAGAAATGGGTGTATATGGTTGTGCATACATTCTTATTATGAACCTGTACATTGCAAAGAAGTAGTTTGGAAATTTGTAAAGCACAACCATAAAAGAAAATAGTGTGCAGTTATTAAACTTGATGTAGCTTTAATGTTTAGTTTATAAAAGGTTATTCCTCTTTTCTATGACCAAGACTTTGACACTTGAAAAATAGAAGCAATACCTGATTTATTTTTGTAAGTATTTGGGATGTTATTTTAAATAAATGATTGTCCAATAACAGTATAATAGTTGTGAAATGTTTTAAGTAAATAAACTTTCTGATTCTGTGTCTGATGATTATGATGGATTTTTAGTGGGTACAAGTGCTCATTTATTTGCTGCTTTAAATAAAGGACTTAAAATATTTAGATTGGCAAAGAGTAATTGCATTAATTTAATTTTTATAATTTTGTGTTCCTTTTGAATTTTTTTGGTGAAGAAGATGTGTTAAGTGAGTTTTGGTGTGCTCTTTTATGTCTCCAACTTCAGCACTGGAATCTAGACATTTTGCGTTATCTTGGAATCCAGAACATTTCTGGATTTTCTTTGGCAGAGACTGCTACTTATCCCTTAATATCCATTCTCCCCTTTTCCTTTAGTAACAAAACCCCATATTTTATCTTGTTACATTTACTGTCCATGGGGGAAAGAATAACTACTTCTCAGACTCCCTTGTAACTAGGTGGGGCCACTTTATAAATTCTGGCCAAAGAGATGTGAATAGTAGTGATGTGTGCCTATTAACAGAATGGTCATGCTTTCCTTAGCTCTTTTCCTCCCCATCTGGAATGCCATGTGACTGAGGGCAACCCTCAGGGACAGTGGAACAACAAGGAAGGAGGAACTTGGATCCCTGAAATCACCATTTAGCTGTCTTAGCTGTGGACTTCCAGCCCAGATTTCTCTTGTTTAAACCATTTTTCAAAGCTAATTTATTTTGGGGTTTCTTTCATCCAGCATCCTAACTTATTTCCCAATCTATACACATATGTCAAAATGAATTGTGAAATGAATTTTTAGAAAAGCACAGGTGTTCCATGTTCTTGGAATGTCTTGGAAACATTTAATTCTGTTGCTGTTAATGCAACAGAAAACAGTAAATATTTGTTTAATCACATGAATGAAGATAATTTGCCAGATATGCAAAGATGGAGACAGAAGTGAAGTCCCATCTCATTTTAGGTAGATCCTCATCATTCCAAAAGACCATGATTCTATAAATTTAACTTTTTGAACTGTACAACAGATGATGGGCCAACATCATCAGATAATTTTGTGACTAGTTCACTAAGAGCGACCTAAGGTTCTAGACCTGCACATACAATATGTTGACTGCTAGCCATATTGGATATTTACACATAAATTTTCATTAAATTTTACTCCCTTATTTCAGCCACACATAGCTTAGTGGCTGATATTGGACAGTGCAGATAGAGGATTTCTATCAGAAAATTCCGTTGGACAGCTCTGTTTTAGATGTCTAGTTTGAATGTACATGTTCTCCATCTCTCTGAAGGTCTGGTGATATGGGATCACAGCAATGTAGGGAAGTGAAACTTTCAGACATCACCCCGCACATGGTGACATGCTCAGGGATAGAGCTGCCGTTGGAGCCTTCAGCTGGCTGTGGTTTTGATGGTGAAGCGCTCCATTCCCTTGCCCACTTGGGCTGCAGCAACTTGCTATCAGTAAGTGGTAGAAGCTGCAATTTAGGCCTCTTGCTTCAACGCAAACATTCTCCTCTTCCATGAATCCTTCCAAGATTTCAAACAAGGTGAGAGATCCATTTTTCTAAAACTTCCAAAATCTTTGTCTTAGTGACCTTAATGTGATCCACTTTTTTTATTTTAATGTATCTGTCCCACTAGACTAAGTTTCTGGAGGTCAGGGGCCATATCTGGTTCATCTGTTTCCCCTCCAGGACTTGGCACAGTATCTTCTACACAGTGAACAAAAATGTCCTAGCTGAACTAGACTTGCTGATGATGCACAAAATATTTTCTTTAGAAATCCAGTCTCAAGATACTCTGAAGAGATCAGGGGAATGCATTGGAAGGATCATCTGAATAGACAAGAATTTAAGAGAAAAGGATTTTTATTTCAGCCCTATGACTAACCAGCACATATCCCTAAGCTTCTTCCCTAGATTTATTGCAAGTCATATTTTTATAACAGCTTTACTGAGATATAATTCACATACCATATAAACTCTTTTAAAGTGTACAAGTTAGAAGTCTTTAGTATATTCCCAGTTGTGTGACCATCACCATTCTCTAATTTTAAAACATTTTGTCACCCCAAGTAGAAACGCTTTACCAATTAAGAATCATTCTGCACTCTCATACTTAACCTTAATTCTTTAGATGTGGTTTCTTTAGGTACTTCGAACATACTTATAATAGCATTTAGGTCAGCAAGATGATGGAATAGGAGACTCTGGACTTGCCCTCCACTCATGGACTCTATGAATAAACTGCTACACATGGATCAATACCTGAGAGAAATCCAGAAATTAGTTGAGAGACTCCTTAACACTGGATGACTAAGAAAATATCCACATTGAAACAGGTAGGAAAAGGTGAGACACACTCTTGCCATAAACCCCACCCTCAGCTAAGTGCCCTACTATTGAGAGGAAACCCCCAACTACCAGCATCTCCCTGAGGAGTGAAGGGTTTGGACTACATATTTAGCATCTCAACTTTTATGGTTTCTTGCTGAAGGACTGGCTTTGAACTCACCCATCCCTGGGAGCTGATGGTGCCTGGTATTTGCTAGTCCCCTGGGACCTCAGAGAACAAAGAGGCACTTTTAAATGGGTGCACAAGCACTTTCTGTGGCTCTTACCCCTGGCTCAGTGCTGAGTGAGCAGGCAATGAAGCTCATCTCCCAGCTTCTCCCTGGAAGGGGTCTGACTGCACATCTAGCACTCTGACTTCTCCAGCTGCTGCCTGAGGGTCTGTCTTCTAACTAGCCTGCATCTTGGAGCTGACAGGGTAGGCAATTATTAGTTCTCTGGGAGCTTGAAGAGGCATGTGGCCACTTCTGGTGGCATTTCCCCTTGGCCTACTTCAGTGGAAAAGACAAGACTCCAGCTTCTTGGAAGGAATTCAACTACACTTATAGCACCCTGACTTTTCCAGCTTCTGCCTGAGAGTCTGACTTCTAACTTGCCTGTCTCTAGGAGTTGACAGGGCGTGAAATTCACTAGTTTCCCAGGGTCTGCAGAGAAAGAAGTTTTGAAGGGCCCCGCAGAGTCTTCCCATGACCCCTCCTTTCAGCTCACTCCAGCAATAAAACCCAGTGCCCAGCATCTCTCTGGAAGAGATTAGACTGCATACTAGTGCAGCCTGACTTTTCCAGTTGCTGCCCAAGAGTCTGGCTTCTAACTTGCCTGTCTCTGGGAGCTGACAGGACAGGCAATGACTAATCACTTGGGAGTTCGAATGGGTGCATGGCCGCTTCCTGTGGCTCTTCTCCCCAGGCTGCTGCAGCAATAAAATGATGCCCCCAGCCTCTCCCTAGAAGGAGTTGTACTAGGTTTTAACCCACCTGTCTATGAAAGCTAACATGACATAGCATTTTCTAGGACCCTGGAGGCAACAGAGAACAAAGCAGACTGTTGAAAGAGTGTGTGGTTTGAATAAGGGTATAGGAATTTGCCACAGCCCCTCTCTCCAGGTCAGTGCAGAGCAAGTGAGCAGTAAACTCCAGCTTCTCCCTAAAGAGAGAAGGAATTGGACCACACCTAGTGCCTCGACTTTTCCAGCTTCTATGTGAGAGACTGGCTTCCAGCTTGTCTGTCTTGGGGCACTGATGGGACTTGGCATACCCTATCCTCCTAGGGACCACTAGGAACAAAGATGGCAGTTTGAACAAGCACAAAGGTTGGAGAGGAATGCGGAACATCTGGCCAGGCTGATTGGTGTGGTTAGTCTCCTATAAGACGCCAGTTCATGAAGGCTGGGAGATGTGGGTGTTTTATCTAATGTGCAGAAACAAACATAAAAAGTCAAGGAAAATTAAGAAAGAGGGAAATATGATCCAAATAAAAGAACAAGATAAATCTCCAGAAAATGACCCTAAAAAAAATGGAGATTTATGACTTACAAATGAAAAAATGACTTACCTGACAGAGAATTCTAAACAATGGTCAAAAAAATGCTCACCCAAGGCCAGGAGACAAATCATGAACAATGTGAGAATTCAACAAAGAGATAGAAAATATTAAGAAGCACCAAACAGAAATCATAGAGCTGAAGAACACAGTAACTGAACTGAAAAATTCAACAGACTAGATCAAGCAGAAGAAAGTATCAACAAACTAAAAGACAGGTCATTGGAAATCATCCAGTCAGAGGGCCAAAAAGAAAAAAGAAGGAAAAAGAGTGAAGATAGATAGCTTAAGGGACTTATAGGATACTCATATGCCAGTCCCAGAAGGGGAGAGAGAAAAGGGCAGAAAGCTTATTCAAAGAAATAATAGCTGAAAACGTCCTAAACCTGGGAAAAGAAACAGACATCCAGATTCATGAAGCCCAAAGGATACCAAATAAGATGAAAAAGACCCACACTAAGACACATTATAATCAAATTGTCAGAAGTTAAAGGTAGAATTTTGAAACACCAAGAGAAAAGTGACTTGTTACATACAGGGGAGCCTCTGTAAGACTATAAGAAGATTTTTCAGCAGAAATCTTGCAGTTCAGAAGGGAGTGGGATAATATATTCAAAATGCTGAAAGAAAAAACCTGCCAAACAAGAATACTATACCTGACAAATCTGCCCTTCAAAAATGAAGGGGTGATAAAGATTTTCTCAGATAAACAAAAGCTGAAGGAGTTCGTCACCACTAGACCTGCCTGACAAGAAAGGCTAAAGGGAGTTCTTCAAGTTGAAATGCAAGGATGCTAAATGGTACCAGAAGAGCATAAGAAAGTATGAAACTCATCCGTAAAGGCAGATATATAGACAAAAACAGAATACCATATTACTACCAAAGTGGTGCACAAATCACTTTTAATTCTAGTATAAAGGTTA